TCACGTCTCTTTATCACCTCGCACCGCTAGGGCAAACGATTCGAGTACGTGGAACGCCATTCCTGGTCTCCTGAAACCACGCTCTAAACTACACGTAGGAGCTTTTAACGTACGAACACTTTGCCAAATAGGACAGCAGGCTTCCTTAGCTAAAACTTTAGAATCTCGCGCCATCGATGTGTGCTGCGTCTCCGAAACGCGCATACAGGATCCAAGTAGCGTCATTCATTTGACCTCACCATGCCAAAATAAAGAACCGACTCGATTTACGCTTCGTGTATCTGGAAGCCCTGATTCTGCTTCCCGTGGCCTCGCCGGCGTAGGTATAGCATTGAGTCCTAGGGCAGAACTAGCTCTCTTAGAGTGGATCCCAGTAGACAGTCGTTTGTGCGCTGTCCGACTGAACGGAACAGTAAGAATCCGGAAAGATAGGGACACTCGTCGTTGCCTCTTCGTCGTCTCTGCCTATTCTCCCACTGACTGCAGCTCAGATGATGTAAAAGATGAGTTTTACAGAAAGCTTTCGGACCTTCTCCGAAAAGCTAGGCGCTCGGATGTAGTAATAGTGGCCGGTGACTTTAATGCTCAAGTAGGTAAACTAAGCGATAGGGAAAGACACCTAGGTGGATCTTATGGTGTCGTGGCTCAAAGAACAGATAATGGCGACCGTCTGTTGCAGCTATGCTCAGATAACCGCCTGTTCCTTGCAAATACTAACTTTAAGCATAAGGAAAAACATCTTTTAACATGGCGACCCCCTAATTCGTCCCAACGTTGGACCCAAATAGATCACATCGCTATCAGCCACCGATGGAGGGGCTCGATAGAAGACTGTCGCTCATTCTGGAGCACATGCCTAGATTCAGATCATGCTCTAGTGCGAGCGCGTATTTGCTTGCGTCTTACTGGACGTAGGAAAGACGCTGCAAGGAAACCTCTTAGGGGCCTACTTAATGATAGTCAGGAACAACTAGGAAAACAGTTAGGCAGCCATGTATGTGATGCCCACCCCGATGCAGCATGGAATGATATCCGAAAAGCTGTGGAAACAGCAGTGATATCTGCTAGTAAGGTAAACCAGAAGGTTAGGGAGCAACACTGGATCTCAGCAGCATCTATCGCACTGATAGATGCTCGGAAACTCATTCCACCTGGCTCTGAACATAATGAAGAGCGGAGTCAGCTTAAGCGCAAGCTGACAAGAAGTCTACGCAATGATCGCGAACAGTGGTGGGTAGCGAAAGCAAGAGAGATGGAAAAGGCAGCGGCAATAGGTAATAGCAGACAATTGTTCAGACTCGTTAAGGAAACCGGAATTAGGAACCCGACCGTTAGCGAAACAATCTCAGAGAAAGATGGACATATTATTCATTCTCAATCCAGGAGATTGGATCGATGGGCAGAACACTTTAGGGATCAGTTCAACTGGCCTTCAGCCACACTTCGGTTTCCCACGATCTCCAGTCAACCTGAATGGCAAGTTAATGTAGGTCCTCCGTCCCTTTACGAAGTTGAAAAAGCCATAGGAAATCTGAAACGAGGGAGAGCAGCAGGCCCTGACAGGTTTACTCCTGAGATTTTTAAGGATGGTGGTCCAGTATTAGCAATGAGATTAACCGAGGTCTTAGGTAGAATTTGGGAACTGGACGTAATCCCATCTGACTGGTCTCAATCACTGATTGTGCCAGTCTATAAGAAAGGACAAAAGTCCTCTTGTGACAATCACAGAGGAATCAGTTTGACTAATATAGTGTCTAAAATATTAGCTTCAATAATACTTCGACGCCTAACTAAAGCTCGTGAAGAGCAGACTAGAGAAAACCAGGCTGGTTTTCGACCTGGACGTGGTTGTATAGATCAGATATTCACACTACGTCAGGTTCTAGAACACAGACACACATTCAGACGCCCCACAATGGTAGTATTTCTCGACCTTAAGGCGGCATTCGACTCTGTTGATCGTGAGGTTCTATGGCAGTGTTTGTCACTGAAAGGAGTACCAAAGAAGTACATTAACCTTATAAAGGCTCTCTACTCGAACACAACTGGTCGAGTGAGAGCTTATGGCGAACTGTCATCAGAATTGATTACCTCAAGTGGTGTTCGTCAGGGCTGTCCACTCTCCCCATTCTTGTTCAACTTTGTCGTTGACGTACTTTTAGAGATAACACTCTCCTCATCTAAATTTCCAGGGGTTGAACTTCTACCGGGAGGTTCACTTGTTGACTTAGAATATGCTGATGACATAGTTTTATTTGGTGAAGACGCTGACAAAATGCAGAGTCTTCTGACCACTCTAAGCAACAATGCAAGCATGTTCGGGATGCGATTCTCTCCCTCGAAATGCAAAATGTTGCTTCAGGATTGGGTTACATCGACACCCGAACTAGTGATAGGGAGTGAAGTAGTTGAGTGTGTCGACCGCTTCACTTATCTTGGAAGTCTCATCAGCCCTTGTGGTTTGGTGTGTGACGAAATCTCAGCACGGATACAGAAGGCTCGACTAGCTTTTGCCAACTTGCGTCATTAATGGCGTAGGACGAATGTGAACGTGAACATCATGCACGCATTTTTTAGTTTGTGTAAACAACATCGACAGACATCACCCATGGAACCGAAGGATTTCCTTAACAATACCAAGTGCAGGGGTGGCTTAGTGGTTAAGGCATTTAACTTTCAACCATTAAGTTACAGTTTTGAATCGCACTTTATTTATTTCAGTTTCGACAACCAGGTTGTATCATTATTGCTCACAATTAGAGTAAGGCTCCTATCCAAATACCTGTCAAAATGAGTTTAATCATCAATTATTATTATTAAAATCAAACGGCACTATTATTGGAGTTTTATGAGTAAAAATTTGTATGTAAGCAAATGAATTGTGATCAAAATGAAGGAAATCTGTACAAGGAAGGCAAGAAAGAAAATACAGGATTTATAACCTCCATTTGTATAAAACTGATGTTTTTGAGTTATAAAGCATATGTCCTATCAAATATGAAAGATCAGTTCTCCTAATATATATATTATTTGGAAGAATAAGACTACTACTGTCGATCAAATTAATGTATCGTCAGAGTAAACTTCGAAGCGAGGAAGGGAAAATTATGTATATACACACTGATTTTAAAGATGATAAATCTAAGTTGCGGGAAAATTAGCGATACTGAACCTTAAAACACGAGGACTTGCAAAATTAGTTCTAAAGAATATCTAATTTGTGCGAGTATTATCAATGGCTGCGTGGTAGTATAGACTAAAACAAGAATGTATAATTTCACACTTATAATAATGGTATCAAAGGTGGTGGATAAATGAAAATCCCGTATCCACGTACATGCTGAACCTAATGGAAACAGTTGATTCAAGTGAAAGCTTTTGTCACAACGTTTGAGCTACTTATTACTTTGTAAGTAACAACTAAATACTAAGACAAAACTGCCAGCAATTGGACAGAACTATTTTTTCTTTGGTTACTGAAGACAATTCTGAAACAGAACTAAATATAGAAAGGATGGATAGGAAACGTTTGACCTATTTAACACTGGCAAGTTCCATCATAAGCAAATATGATCATTACACAGGTTTTTATTAGTTATTTTATTTTAACACCTAGATATTGGTACAAGGAGGCACCAAATACATATGCGCCATACAAATCTCATTTGATTTGTGTGAGGGCTGCGACACTGCTTGGGTGTCCAAACCGAAGCAGGTGGTTTTCTTAGGGTGCTACACCCGGAGCATTCGGCCTAAAGGTCTGATCCACAAGGTAGTGGAGCAACGTCGGAAGATGCAGTCCCATGGTAGCCAGTGACCAACAATTGGTTCATACGCCATCTGTTCCCTCAGGATACTGGGGCTCATGTGCACCATTGGTTTGGAATCAGAGTTTTCCAACTCCCTTAGGAGGACTCTCCATGTCCATCAACTCGGTTAAAGCTCTGAATATTCGCTTTTCGTCCTCTCAATTTCGTGAACAACACTCCTTGCCGCGATAAGGCAGTGAGTAGGACTTCCCTGGGAGTGGTTGTATACGCGTGGCCATATGAGAGCGTTTTGAGGGGTGAGCAGACTCTCCCCACTCTCGGCCGTAACAGGGCATTTGTAGGCCATTACACGGGTTCTGGTAGAAATATAATCTCAACAATTATATTAATGTATGTAGTCAAAATATTAAAAACCTCTGTACAATGTGTTCGCAACAGATATCTAATGAGCTAGTTAATAAAAAACATTCAACCATTCAAGACCTATGGTGAACGGCTACATGATGATCTGCGGAATATATGTGACACGGTAATCACTCGTCTAACTTTATCACGTATACAGTGGAATTTATTTGCTGCATGGGAATTAGTACATGACCATGTAAATTGGTTAATTGTTTAATAAATAACAATCCGAATAAGCAACCAAATTTATCCGTACATAAGCTGTGAACCACACCAATATACGACCGCTAAACACTGTACGACGTATGTCGAATTCCAGTGTATGACACCCTATTGGATGAGTGTCTGAGTAATGAAACAAACAGCTAACTCATAACAACCAATAAAACAGGATCTACAATACTCCACACCAGCTATCACTATGTAGTGTGTGGTAATTAAACTACACTTGACGAATAAGAAATGGATTCTTCTAGATGAGAACCAAATGTTTCGCCAACTAACCGAAACAAATTACAATATAAAGACTATCGATCATCAATTACATCGAAAACTGTACTACAAAAAACATGTAGTTTGCAAAATTTTCCCATTTCCCTTTTTTAAATGACTGAATAACTTACGTGTCCGTATAATACATCCAAGTCAATTAACTTTTTCCAAATTAAAAATGCTGAAACTTTGTACAACGACTCTGGTGTATTGACACCGGGTTCCTGTAGGAAATGGATAATTGAAAGAATTAGACTTAAAATACTTGTGTAAAATGATATTTGTGTCCCAATATATTAGTCATATCTATTCTATCAGGGTTGTAAAGTCGTATCAACTGAACAAATTCCTCGTACATATCACACGGAACTCACAAACATCTAATATCAGGTCCAGGACACGATTTGGATCCAAATCAAAATAACCAATTAATGACCGAATCTGAACCATTACGGCTTCCATCGACGCAGTTGACTTTATTTGACATAATTCTGTGATCAGCTTGGCATAGCCTTCATTTTCTTCACGTAGCAAATTAAATTTTTGTTGTTTGAAAAATAAACGCGTTTTAGTGCGAACATAACGCGTTTGGAACTGTTGTTTCGATTGAATGAATGACAGGTTTTCCAAGGTCTCTTCACAAAATCTCTCCATAATCAAAGCAGGATTCACATGATTCTTCAGAATTTCTATTAACCGATAGAAACGATCTCGAACAGATTCTGAGTTAATATCAGCAACTGACGAGTCTAAATGGGAAGTTTGGGATTTGCAGATATTTTTAAAATATGTATATACTGACCAATTAACCAAAGGGAATCTAATAGGTCGGATTCAAAGGATCCATTACCACCAAATATCTAGTAAAAAGAAATGAGTTCCAGTAAATTACGCTAAACATACTTTAAATAACTCAGGAACTAATTTGGCAAGTATATCAATTTTCCCTTCTCCATTTATCAACTTCAATACCAAATCCGTGAACAATTTGACAGATCCAGCCATTCCACCTTCTTTGCACTTTGTTAGACTGTAACGGAAAACAGACTTGATTTAAGCTGCAGAATCTTGAAACATTAGTTTGAAATATAACCTTAAGGAGTTTCCCAAAAACAGATTGGCGAGACGAATCATACGTAATTAGAATGAATCGCTAAATTTTAAGCTACGCATGAAGAATATTAACATTATAAATTCAAAGGTTTTCGAGAACACTATCAATCGACACAAAAGTCAACTGCTATCGTATTCAGACTACATTTGGATGAATTGTGCCTCGATTAAACAAAAGCCATTAAAATCTGTCAGCTTATTTTCACACTATTTTAAGCCGCTGAATTACTTTAAGGCTGGTTTAACAGGATAGGAACAATACAAGACTATCCTGAGGTTTAAAGCTTACAAGGGATCTAAGAGAAACTAGTTGCTTAAGTCAGTTTCTTAAGACAAAAACCACGAATTTTCAGTCTTATTGACTTTTATATGACGCACTTAAAATTCTACACATTCCAAACACAATATGTGATGTAAACGCAAAGTGAACAGACCAAATAGCAGGCATTCCAAGAAATGAAGGCGCGGATATACGCGCTTACGATGAGGTTTAACGTCAAACTTATCACGGCTATTAACCACGAATGGGCAGATATATGAGAATAGAAGAGGCGTGTCGCACATAAGCAACCATAAATGAACGTCAATCGAAAACAAAATCAAGGATGGTATTGTCGAAGTAAAATCAGCATTCTAAATACCCCTTAAAAACTGAAAATAACAGTATCAATCTGTTTTTACAGCGCCACAGAACTAGCGCCAAATCAAAATACTTATTTTCTGGTTTCTCCGAAATCACTCACAAATTCTTCCTGCCGAACTTCTCCCAATCCTTCAAACATGATGTCGTAAATATCGGATTGCAGCAGAAAGTGACAAGGTGTTCCATTTCACACAACCCGGCGATATATGACCGTGGGTTGTTTCCCTTATTAGTTAAATGTCCAATAAAACTTTTATCGTTTTTGTGACGAGATTGTATAAACCAGTTGATTACTTTACTCTCTTACTCGCTTCTTTTTGCAACTATCAACCATCAGAATATCAAGGTGAAGGTTGGTTGGTAGCAATTATAGAAATAATAAAGTGAGAACTCAAATGTTAGGGGAAGACGATTATCACAAGAACTTACTAAACGAATAATTTCATTAACTTGTGGTCCAGACAGTATGAGGAGAACGAGGTGTGAAAGCAAAAGGGAAAACGAAGATGATAATAAGCAAGGTAGAAATAAGTTGATATTATGTGATGATGATAAAATTTACGAGACATACATCAGGCACAGCTGATTCAAGAGGGAGATGGTAATCCAAGGGTGAATATTTGTTCGTCATGTCTCCTCTTTGGGCCTTTCACTGAGGAGGCTTTAGTCGGTTCAGCCGGCAGAGCATCCCAAATATGGGCAACTCTCAATGAGAAAAAGTGAGAACGAACCTGGGTGTTCTCTCTTCCACGTGCAATTTTCCGAGGGTTGCCTCGAGGAGCATGGCAATGATGTTCTGATAATATGCTCGTGTTGGGGTGGCTTGGCGCATTCAATATTTTGTATTTCGTTACCAAATCACCTCCTATTCTTCTATAGCTCGACGAGAATAATCCCAGGAGCTGGGATTTGTCCTTATAAGATTTGTGTTTCAGCTATATCACCTGTTTGATTGCTCATCTCTGTACTTGATCTAGCAGACTTACATCTCTCTAGAGGAAAATGAGGAATTGTCTTGTAGATGAACGCGTGTTATATCAGTTGTGGTTCAGAGGCGTTTTGCTTCACTGACACAGAGTGGGATAGCTTTTAGATAGACTCTCTCACTATCTCCCAGTGGCCATCTACTCTCAGCTTCCACCACTATTGTGGCCATGGGTTGTTTTCAAAGTTTTCACTCATGATCTCGTGGTCTCCCCTACTGTAGCATAGGCGAGGAGTATTCTCGTCCTTCTGAAGCCCCTTGTTTGTGACCACGTTGATTATGTTTGTACGTTTGATTTTCCTGGATAAGTCTTGGTAGAGCTGTAACATCCCTAAAGAGCTTCATTTGGATCCTCTAGATTCCTAACGTTTACACTTATCACACGCAGGGAACTAGTGTTCGTGAGGTGTAAAAAATAGGGTGGCCGAGACTTACTAATTGCCATAGTATCGTGAAGACTAATGCTACGTGATAAGCAACGCCGCCATCGCATGTCGTTTCCATGATCTAATCCCCGACACTGGTACAATATATAATATCAAGCAGCTTCATCTCACTTTTCTGTCCTCGCATTATGACTTCATGTTAGCCATTTTGTTGCCATATATTTCCTAACGCCTACTCATTTGTCCTTACCGTTATCAGAGACTGAATTTTATGCAACGGTCGGTAACTTCACTGGTGTATGAATATGGGTTGTGACTTACTTGATTGTGTGTCTCTTTGCGGCTGTATTAGACGAGTTATTTACAGTATTGAGGATAGATACGTTTGTTCTCGATGGGTTCCTATGTCCCTTCTTTATTAGTTTCGATTATACGAGCATACCACCGAAACCACTTAAAAAGGTGTCTCAAATGGACTTATTGTACTGTCTGGCTGCTTCAGTATCACAGCGATTGTGGACCTGGCCATCACGGAAGTTACTTTCAAATGTCAATTTGTAGTAGTTGAAGTTCAAAGAGGGATTAATAACAGTCTATGTATATTCAGCCGCGCTTACCAGTGTTGGTGCTTGGAGTGGAGTTGTTGAGCTTTACAGTCTATCAAAAGAACAATAAAAATCTCGGTATTGTTATACTGAGAGAGAGATTAAAAAGAAGGCGGAAGTAACCGATCGGGAACTAGACCGAAGTAGACTACAATCCCACAGAGCGATTTGCGTATTCTTCGCCCGCATTTCTTTTTGCTCGCTAGTCTTACTAGGGGTGGGTACCCGAGTAGTGGTGAAATACTGATTAGTTGGGGACCTAGTTTGGTCGTTTGAGTTGAGCGATCCATATCGCACACATTACCCTGAGATTTCTTTTCTGGTGTTATCTTGAGTCCTATTATAATCCTATTGTTAGAAACGGGAATATTCATTTTATTATCAAACCTTCATGTAAGACTCTCATCCCTGCTAGTCGTCCTTGCAGTTATAGTGCGAGTACTGGTTGTCATATAAGAACAATGAATAAATAAATGACAACTGACTGGAGTTATTTGTGGACTATTATTACAGATATTCTTATTTCATAATTAATGAAAGACTAGATTTTAAATATATTCTTTTTGTCGTAAGCTTTCAGTCGAATCTATTGGCTATTGTGATACAATATACCATCCTTAACTTTCAATTTATTATTAGTAGCAGTATTCCATGCTGTCAGCCATTTTTGAGTTCATCTTGTATATTATTTTTCATTTTAGGATATGATGCGGCCTGGTCTGCTTGCATATAGATTACGTATGTCAGAGATGTTCAACTCATACAGCGCAGGCTGATATTTGTTTTCTGGACTGAACGGGTTGGTTTAGGCTAGAAGCTACTGTACTGAGGACAAATGAGGATTCAAAGTTTACTCAAGGTTACTGGTGATGTTTGACGCATCATCAGTTTAGCACAAAGGCAAAGTCATAGTAATCGATATAACAACTGGCGATTTTATCACATGGCATTTAACGGACCATAGGAAATAACACTGGCGGCAACTCCATTACGACACATGCTACTCAATAGACCGAAATGAAAAATGTGAGACTACTTAAGAGGGAAGTATATGATTCAAAAGTTTCAGAGGAGGAAAATAAAAGAGATAAGCTAATTTATGCTACACGGTAGGTGTACCTGTAATCACTTGAGATTGCAGCGATGCCCATGACCACCATAGCAAGCAACTGGGCGCACATCCAGTAACTTCCACAGGCCCAGTGTTTTTAAGTAAATACATGTGACTATGTCTCACTTGACGCCGCTAGGAAAAGAGTAGTTGGTCTAGACAGCCAGGCGAACCGCACAGTGGTTCAACCTTGACATGTTTATGGCTGTTCAATTTATTATCGTGCTTTGCCTGCGGCAAGGAAAGTCGTAGTGTGTCATTAAAAGTGTTTAAGTATTACAATCTGGCTGTGGAAACTGGATAGTTTTCTCTGTTTGTGAGATATCAGCGAAAGCAAGTCAGGTTCGAAGGGTAAAAATTACAGGTCCTTATATAGCTCAATAAACGGGATATTTAAACGATCGAATGTAAGCCACTTGGCATATTTATACCCGTTTTCCGGTGATAAATTATCGTCACTGGTCTTCTTTATCATTTGACGTGTGTATTGTGGCCCGGTGCTACTCTGAAAAAATTATAACGTTCATAAGATGTTTCTGATAAAGCAAATACATGCAGCTTTTCAAGCACTGTCAATTGTACACAAAAATGTTCCCGACAAAAGTTCGCAGATACGGTGCAAACCCAACAGAAATTTTGAAAGACAAAAATAATAAATCATGGAATTTTCGCAACAGGTTGTTCAGGTAAATTTACCTGCTAAGTATTTACGTAATAGTACTGCGTCATGGGTTTGTACTTCTTATAAGGTAATAGTTAGATTGCTCTTTGTATATGCTGTTATCTTCATGGCAGTGTGGTATACTGAATAGATATCTAAGCCACAATACAGAAGCTCTAACCATCTCATTTGCTTGTAACATGGAAATAGTAGAGACAGTGTATTCAAATAATGAGTTAGGACGAAAGGAATATTCATACACATCACAAACGTAAGAGAACCTAACATCACAAAAGGACGGGGGGTGGCGTTTCTGACCAGAAAACATGATAATGAAGAGATAATATCAGAAGGGGTTTGTGGAGATTTTGGAAATTTCACAGATTGAAATCATGAGTTAGTTGAAGCTAGCCCACCATGGAAAACCTGGAAGCACCGGACGGCCGTTTCGTCCTAGTATGGGGCTCCTCAGAAGTGCGCATCCACAATCCCGCACCCCACGGGATTCGAACCCAGGACCTACTGGCTTCGTGCGCGAGCACTTAACCATTAGGCCACTGAGCCGGCATCCAGGACGAAACGGCTGTCCAGTGCTTCCAGTTTTCCATGATGATCTAGATTCAACTGACTCATGATTTCAATCTGTGAAGAGATAATAATAATTTATTCTCAAATAAAATTTTGTTACGTGAGGCATGCCAGTTTACAGGCAAAATCAAATTGTTACAAATGACACAACTTCCACTGTAGTAAATTACTCAGCTGGGTTGATAATTTATAAGGTATGGATGTAGATGGTTTTAGCCAGTATCACAGCTGGCGCGCTTTATGAAAGTTGTGTTACGACGTGCAACTGATGGTTGAGAATTGATCCATTGAAGTCGGGAGCTTCTAGAAATCGCAACCTTATATCCCTTTGAAACATCTGAGGCTTCAATGATGGCGCTGGACGAAGTCACCCGTTCCATATCTGTTTCCAGTGGCATATCTCAAGGGGGCTGAAAAGCGTGCAAGAAAAATAAAGGACAAGAAGCAGAGCAGACAATTTTCATGAAGGAATAGTTAAGGTATGACTAGTCAGTCAAATTCTCTTTTATTAATTATTTATTAAGCAAGAGCATTCTAATAGGTTAAAGGAAATAAGTGTAAACAAGGTATGAGTGGATAAACGACTGACGAATGGGGGTGGTTCAGAAAGGAGCTGAGAGTATGGGATTATGCGTAGTTATAAAATATAGGGCTAAAAACAGTATTATGATTCACGAATAACCGTCTCTTTTTTTCAAAGCTACTGGACCCCTTTTTTAGGTTTTATACGGTCTTTAGTAGGCTTTGTTTTTAGCGAATTGTCTTGTTTGCTTGTAATAGAATTATTGGGTATGAAGTGAAACCAATTCAACGTTCTAAGCACGATTTAATGAGGAATTTTGCATTATAA